GAGCAGTTCCGCAACAACAACACGCGCATCCGACACAGCCAACTCAGACGTTGCAGTCTAAACTTCCGATCCCTAAGCAACTTCCAGAAAAGGCTACTTCCGTGCCTCAACCCGTTGCGATGGCGGGCGGTGCTGGCGCTGGTAGGCCTACTTACACGGGAGGTGGCGGCATTGCTGGAGGTGTCATGGGCCAGCCCGCGATTTCCAAGATCCCTGCATACGTCCATGAGGCCGAGGGCGATCACGTACTCAGCAAGAAGAAATTGGACGAGCTCGTGCGACAAGTTTGCGGCGGAAATGCCGAGGGCCAGGAGATCAACATGTTGACTCCCGAGGTCGAAGAGGTACGTGACTTATCACTGACGACCCGATGATGACAAACGTTTGCTAACTCCATTGCAGAGTGTCTTGGCCATGGCAGACAGCTTTGTCGATAACGTCCTGGAGACGGCTTGCCGCAACGCCAAAGAGCGAGGCTCAAAGGTCCTTGAGATTCGCGACATCCAGCTTGTCCTTGAACGCACTTACAATATCCGCGTCCCTGGCTACTCGTCTGACGAGCTTCGCACCGTGCGCAAGATCCAGCCCTCGACTGCCTGGATCACTAAGATGAGCGCCATCCAAGCAGCCAAGGTGACCTCGGGTAAGGGCGAGTAGTACGAACCCACCGAGAAACCGCGGCATGCTGCTGCTGCTAGAAACCGAAGCACTGCTAGGAGAAGCACGACAAAGAGCGTCCGGTTCAATCAGGATGACGTCGGAGCACGTGCGACATCGCTGGTCAAGGCCGCCTCGTCCAAGGCGAGGTCTCGTAAATCTACATCACTGGCCAAGAAGGCTTCAACCTCGAGATCTGCTCCGACTCAGACTACTGGTCCTCCCCTCAGGCAGTTTTCGGTTGATAGCAATACCCAGCAGGCGGACTTGTCCATGGCGACACGTATGGAGGTCAACTTTCTCCCAGCAAAGAAGTAGGCTCCTCTTCAGGAGTAAGGATGATTTGACAATGGCAAATGGATTGGTTTTTATGGGCATAACGGTATGGTCTGGGAGACATGGGAAAAGGCGTTTGGGATGAACAGCAATTGCTAGTTGACTAGCAATATCTGGTGCTGCGGTGGTCATCCATCATGGCTTTCATAGTTATGGTATACCCAAATTGTTACTCGAGTCCATTCACAGTGTTCATCTAGGTCCGTCTCAGTGTTGTGGTGTCGTTAATTATGCCACAAGGAGGTAGGCCAGCAAGGTCCTCACGATGAAGGTAGCGCAGCTGGAGCCAGGTGGTGCAAAGGCGCCTCCGGTCCGATAAGACAACAGCAAGAGTAGGCACCCAGAAGCAACAGTCTGCATTCAGCTGAGCAAAAGACTCAAATATGAAGGTGGCGTTGACATTCTGACGAACCTAGCGCGTGATATAGATTCAGAGGCAGAATGGTATTTGACGGCAATAAATCAGGAGGTTGCGTGCAATGCCAATTCAGGTGATATGCCATATTGATCAGGTACTACCTATGCCTACAGCTTCGATGGCGGGATTGGGAGCTTCGGCTACGGACCCTGAATAATTACATAATTCAGGTAGCTGGGGCGTGCATAAGTGTGGCACAAAAAAAAAGGCACCACGACGACGCAGCTGAGGCAGGCAGCATCGACAACGTCACTCCCGCTTTGGACCTGGTGGCCTTTGCCTCGTTCGGTGTTGGGGGGGTTGCTCCACGCTTTCAGCAGGCCCGGCAATCTCACTCGCTAAGTGATATCAGGTAGAGTGTACAAACTACGGTAGCTGAGTCCCCGCAAAGATGGCTGTTTCTGCCTCGCGTTGGGTCCACAATCTTGTACCCGCTACCGAGCACCGGCTAGTGTGGTGGGTGAGGTGCTTGCCCGGTCTGTGTCGTTCCCCCCCCGGCCTGGAAGCAGCAACCTAAGCCTCAGGTATTCAATCTTTGAGCTTCCATCCATCGGACCTTCCTGCATCACGAGCCAAACAGCCAAACAGCAACCACGCAATCCCATCAACGACAACCGACTCTCACAGAGCTCCGAGATCGACTCCCGCTTGTCCTGACGCTTTTTCAACCTGTGTCACCTGACTTTCTCTCCCTCAATACATTGCTTACAGACGAAGCATCCGACGGGACGCCATATCTAAGCAAAACAACCCGCCCACACTCTCCTCCCCGGGCGCGACTCCACGATCATATCCGACTGCTGCCATCCCAAGCAGCACTCAACACACTGCCCACAGCATATCCACGCACACCCGGTTGAGCAAATATGCCGGGCAAAACACCTTCACGCAGCGGGAAGGATCCCCTCGAGAACGGGGTTCGTAAGAACAACAAGGATGCCGACTCAAAGAGCAAGGGCAAGAAGGGAGCAAAGGACGGCGACGAAGAGATGACTGTTGTCGTCCCTCCGTCCAAGAAGGCGGCTGCTCCCCCGGCGGATGCTGACGGAGACGTTGCGATGGGTGACGAGGCTGGAGCAGATGAAGCAGAGGTCAAGGTTGACCCCGTGGTGCAGGCTGTAGCAGGTACGTCATGCTTTATCAGTTCTGAAGCTCTTGATCTGCCCGCAAACAAACCAGAAAGCTGACAGATGTCAATTCTACAGACATCAAGAGCAATTTCGCTCTGCTGGACCGCGCAGTCGCGCTCTTCGATGCCAGATTCTCCCTCCGAGCCCTGCGGTCAATTTCCACCATCCGCAAGCGCCTGACACCCGATATCATCGCCCAGGCCATTGCCGAGAGCTTCCCCGCGACCGTTGCCTCCGGAAATGTTGCCAAGCAGCTTCTGATTGCCATCGGTCGCGAGAACGTACCCCTCGGCCGCTCCAGCGGACCGGAGATGGAGGTAGACAGCGAGCCTGCGAAGACGAAGAACGGCCAGAAGAAGGAGGTGAAGGAGATCATCCCCGAGATTGACATCTTCCTCGGCATCCTGATCCAGGTCCACCTCTACGACACCAAGCAGTTCCAACACGGAGCCGAGTTCTCTAAGCAGCTCACTGACCGTATCCACACGCTTAACCGCCGTACACTAGACTCCCTTTCCGCCAAGGTCTACTTCTACTACTCAATGTTCTGCGAAAGCCTCGCTCCTCAGCCTCCTTCTCCCCAGTCTCCGGTCGTCGCTATTCGACCTACTCTCCTGGCTGCTCTGCGGACCGCCGTTCTCCGCAAGGATATCGACACGCAAGCCTCGGTCATTGTGCTTTTGCTTCGCAGCTATTTGTTGACGTCTCACATTGCGCAGGCCGACCTGCTCGTATCCCATACCCAGTTCCCCGAGAACGCGGCCAACAACCAGGTCGCACGCTTCCTGTACTACCTTGGACGCATCCGCGCCATTCAGCTGAGATACACCGAGGCACACGAGCACCTCACAGCTGCGACAAGAAAGGCTCCCTCAAGCGCCTGCGCAGTGGGCTTCTCACAGACGGCGACCAAGCTTCTGTTGGTGGTTGAATTGTTGATGGGTGATATTCCCGAGAGATCTACTTTCCGCCAGCCCACTTTGGAGCTCTCTCTGCACCCTTATTTCCTCCTTGTTCAGGCCGTCCGGGTTGGCAAGGTCCAGAACTTCGAGACTATCATTGCGGATCACGCCGACACCTTCCGCCGCGACGGCACATACAGCTTGATCCTCCGCCTGCGCCAGAACGTCATCAAGACCGGCATCCGTATGATGTCTTTGTCGTATTCTCGCATTTCCCTGCGCGATATCTGTATCCGCCTCGACCTTGGTAGCGAAGAGTCGGCCGAGTACATTGTCGCCAAGGCCATCCGCGATGGTGTTATCGAAGCTACCCTAGACCGCGAGCATGGATACATGAAGAGCAAGGAAGTCGGCGACGTCTACGCTACGCGGGAGCCTGGTGAAGCCTTCCACGACAGAATTCGCGCATGCTTGGCTCTCCACGATGAGAGCGTCAAGGTGAGTTTTCCAGCACACTTCCATCTGAAAATACACTCTAACAATACCGTGTTTTAGGCCATGCGATTCCCCATGAACCAGCACCGCTTGGAGTTGAAGAATGCCCAGGAGGCGCGCGAACGCGAGCGTGAGATGGCCAAGGAGATACAGGAGGGAGATCTGGACGAGGACGATCTTGGCGGCGACTTTGATGGCATGTAACAACGCTATGTCTACTTGTTGTGTTATCCAAACCTTCCTACCCGGTGTGCCGACGTGCCGACCCGCAACTACAAATCCAACCAGTGGTTTAGAGACATTGCGGGCAATTTGATTTTACTGATTCATTAATGGACGGGGGCACGGCGCTAGGGGGCGGAAGAAGGGGGGGCCTATTAGCAATGATTCCGGATGCGATAGACAAGTTTCTCTTACGCTGGTCATGTTCTCAAAGGGTGCCTGCTGGTGCGGTAGAAAGGGGGGCTCGGCTATGGTAATTAGCCGCCCGGCGTGTATGTGTGAGCTGAGTTGCAGTGCATGCCATGCCATGCCATGCCATGCGGCTCTGTGTATTAAGTAACGCAAGACATGGAAGAGGTTGCCAATTATTCGATGTCGCTTTCGAGGATGTTATGCTCGTGAGTTTATTGTCAAGTTTGCGCGCTTGATGCGCTCTGTTGAAGCCATCACGACGAGGAAGACTTAGCGTGTGCTGCTCTTCTTTTCTTAATCGAGTGTCGTGTAGAGAGAGAGAGAGAGAGAGAGAGAGAGAGAGAGAGAGAGAGAGAGAGAGAGAGAGAGAGAGTTATCGAGGCTACTCGCACGGCAAAGTATTCCTCTCTCTCAAGTGTCCCGTCTCAGTCTCTTGGGTCCTTATGTGCTTTGTGCTTTTGGATAGCTCATGTTACCTTACGCCTCGTAAGTTCTCATCTTGAAGCCTGTTGATTACCTATGTAGTAAGTATCTAAGCACATAAAATGTGGAGCAACTAATATGTCCCAAGAGAATCTGAGATGAATAGATATACGAGAATTCACAAAAAGAACACTCGATCACAAAGGCTGTCCTTCTCGAGAACCACTAGTACGCCGAGCGATTCGGATCAGTCTTCCACCTAAGGCAGTTGTTACTCCCATAACCGCCCTGCTTACCATTCTCCCCGCCGCAATTACAGCTATCGACGGGCGTCTTGAAGTAGCGCGTACACTCGTCCATGCTGAACGTCCACGAGCAGCCGTCGAGCACCTCGAAGCTGAAGCTAATCTCCTCCTGTCCCGAAAAGGGCTTGATGGACTCCTTCTTGTATCCGCCCATGAGCTGCTGCTGCCCGGCGGCGGCCCTGCCATCTAGGTCGCGGGCCTGGACGCCAACGTCGGAGCCAATGTTCTTGCAGAAGGAGTTGATGCCGTTCTGCAGCCGGATGTTGCTCATCTTGCGCCCCTCGCCGTAGCATTTCACATTGTTGTGCTTGGCGTCGGCCTGCTTGAGCGGCTTTGCTGTGGGCTGGGAAGGCTGAGTCGTCTGCGCCCTGGTGGTGGTGGTCTTCGATTCAAGCGGCTGTTCGCACATGCGCCCAAGCTCACTCAACATTGAGCCCCAGGGGAAAAACCCAGGCAGGCTCATGGTGCCGTTGTTTGAAATCTTGGGGACGTCCCATCCAGTGCCGTCACCCATCGGCATCTGTCCCGAGTCGTTGTTGTTTCCACCCCTTCCCGGGCAGTCCAACATGTCCATGTCGTAGTAACTGGGCGACTCGGCAGCCTGCCGGCACATCCAGTCCTTGAGGCGATCGTCCAGCTCTTTGTTGGGGTCTACAGCGGCGGCCATGCGCGGCCGGAGGGCTTTTGCTGGCCAGGCGCCGTTTTGCGGCGGTGGCGAGCCAGGCTCGATGGACGGAGGCTGCGTCGGATAAGGCGCTTTAGGGCTCGCCGTTGACTCTTTACCATTCGGGCCGTTGTAAATAACGACGGGCCAAGCGGCAGTCGTAGCGGGAACGGGCCAGAAGTCCTCAAAGGCTCGGCGGTTCAGGCTGCCACTGTCCCTCTTCACGTTGGAACCCCCGATGGTCATTACCTCGAAGCCCAACTTGGATAGCGTCATGGGCCGCACCGTAATTGTACTCGTCCACGCGTCCTGGCTGACGGTCATGAGTGGGTAATTGACGGTAGTAGTCGCCCCTGTATATGGCGGAATCTTGACACGACAGGGTGGCTCGCAAGAGAATTCAGGTTGTTCCATATCCCAAATAGACGGGTCAAGCCAGAGGATGTCGTTATACTGCTCTCCGTCGCTAGTGACGTCGAGCAGCGATATCTGCGACCAGAAGGAGTGCGCATCGATGTTGAGGTTGTCCTTGGCCGCAATGCCCTTGCCGTCCATAATGACCATATACTTGGCGCCTATCGTAACGAGATGCTCCCATCGCACGCTAGCATGGTTTCCCTTAAGAAGAACCAGTGCCTTCTGGCACAGCTGTCCGCCAATACAATCTTGGGCTTAGGTCGAGAACCACGAATACAGGCCAGCGCCAGCAATGACGATATCCTCGCAGCCGCGCATCACAACGGCCCACGATTCATCGCAACCACTGAACTCGTCGCCAACGGCGCAGGAGTAGTCCGGGTCACCAGGGAAGAGGCCGACGGAGCTAGTGAAAGGGGCAGGCGGGTTTGGGGTTGGCTGGTAGTACGGTGACTCTGTTTGGATCATGGCGGCGAAGACACTCGCGGCATTGTGGAAGTTGTATTGGTACATGATCGCGTGCTCCGATGCCGTGCCGTAGAGCCATGTTGGCTCGGTGCTCTCGATAAGCAGGCCGCGAGCAACGTATATCGAGTTCTGTACCATGGTGTTGTTGGCGTCTTCCAGGTCTGGGTCATCAATTAGATGGTCAGCCACCCACAGCCACATGTTCTCGAAGTATCCCGATGCGCCTGGCTTAATGTGCATCATCAGACTAGCAGCATTGCAGCCCGGGGCGATGCCAGAAGCCAGAGCTGGGCACTCCGTAGGCGTCAGATCGGTGCCCGTCGCACCGCCGATCCGGACGTGGCAGTCCCAAAGGGCCGCTGATCCCTTTGCATCAGCAGCCATATTCCACTCAATGAGCACGGCGCCAGCTGTCGGGCCCTTTGTAGTAAAAATAAGGTCCTGCATCTCGACGTTGCCGACCTGGCCAGGGCGACCCACGCGAAGCATTGGGGTAGGCTTACTCTCGTCGGAGAAGGCCGGACCTTGGGCCACGATCTGCGACCACGTCTCGCCGACCATCTTGACGCCGGCTGGTACTGTCACGGTCCCCGTCAAAATATACGAGCCGGCATCGACGAATCAGATGCTGCCCTGGCTTGAATCGACGGCCAGCTGGAAGGCAGCCGTGTCGTCCGTTATGCCGTCGCCCATAGCGCCAAAGTCCCTAACGTGAAGGAAGTCGCCCACGCCGCGGTCCTCGTATTGCGGCTTGGGACGCTCATAATAGGCACCCTGAGCGTCCAGAAGCGCGCTATCTCTGCGATACTTGCCGACCTTGCCACCAGATGAGAATGAGCGTGTACCATCATCGGCTGAGCTCGAATATACGGGGCCCAGTACCCACTCGTCAAGCCTCGTAGACGCGGCCAGCAGGGTGCGGCCATTCGTGTCAGCGACGGCGGTGGTGACACCCGACATGGCGATGTTCTCGAGTACGAGACCAGTGCTTCCGGAACCTGGTTTGGATGACGGCGGCTGAATAACGACGACGGTACCGACGTTCGTGAAGGACGAATCCATAATCAGCGATGACCCTATGCTGCCGTCGGGATAATCAGGCACAAACTTGAAGCCTGTCTTCACGTCGGTCATGGTTATTGACTTCCACACCCAACCCCAGTCCCAGATAACCTGAACGCCGACGTCACAACCACTGAAGACAAGCCGCTGGGCGGTAAATTGCTGCTCGCCGCCGTACAGACAGACGTCGCCACCTACAAATGTGACGTCGGAGATGCCGCCGCCGCTGCCATTTTCGGCAAAGAGGCCCTTCTGTCCTGCACCGGCCCGCAGCTCGACGTTCTGCATACTAGTAGCCTGGGCCACCTGGTAGTGTAGGCATGCCGCCTCCTCAGAGGGCGGTGCTGGGCGGACGTCGATAATGACGTTGCGGATCTGACGATAGAAATTGGCCGTATTTACATACCACTGCTGGTCGTGCCCGTCGGCGCCAGTCCCGCCGCCTGTGTATTCGTCTGTGGAAAGCACCCCGAGACCAATGAAGGTCTTGGAGGCGACCAGCACTGGTCGGTTGATGGCATCACCGATGACCTGCGTGCCGAAGGGAAGAGGCACCGTGCTGGATATGAGGTACGTGCCGGGTGGGAAGTAGACGATGGCATTCTTGACCGTCGACCCGTTGCATTTCTCACCACAACGCCGGCCATCGTTCATGGCCCGCTTGATGGCGGCAGTATCGTCAGTCACGCCGTTGCCCGTGGCGCCATAGTCGAGCACGTTGCGGAACACAGCGTACGAGGGTTCATCGCCCCAGGGGACAATGCCCTTGCGAGCGATAGACTCCATCCAGTACGAGCCGGCGGCCGCGCGGCGTGTGATGTTGCGGCTGGGAACCTTAACACCGTCCTGGGGCATATCAGCCTCGGCCTCGGCCAGGAGTGCGGCGGCCCAGGCAATCTCGTCAGTAATCTCGAGGAGCGGGGGTGGTTCGGGGTCGTCGCGGCGGGTGCGGCGGGTCTCGTTCACAATTGCTCCGCCGATGACAGTACCGGGCTTGAGTCTGTATTGATTTCGCAGTGGGCTATTCAGACGGGCCTTGTTGAGCTTGGACGAGGCCGCGATGGCGATTGTCACGATGCCACGGGCTTTTTCGAGATCACTTGACGAAGCCGCGTTTAGGAGAGGCTTTGCGCGTTCATGAATGGCTGCCGGTACCTTTTCCCCCTGCCGTTTCGGCTTCTCGAAGCGTCGCGACGTTTTATTGTTGGTGTGTAGGTCGCCTGAGCCAGCCGACCGCATCCGCAAATCAGTCATGTCCCTAAAAGTCGGCTCAGCTGTCACAGAGGAGTCGTTGAATTCGGCTGGGATATATTCGACGACACGATAATGGCCGGCGCGCATGCGCCTCAATGCCTCCTCAAAGCTGGGGCCGTACCGTGAATGGGGCACCCGCGTCGGCTCGTTCGGGTTCCCATCTTCGTCCGGGTTGGTGATATTGAGCCCGCGCTTCCTTGCTTGAGAAATGAATTCATGGTTACTATCCATGCCAGTAGTAGTATCTGTCTTAAAGACCACGGCTGCGTTGCCGTCGGGCCCCATGTCCATGGCAGCGAAGCGGAAGAAGGCTGTCACGTAACAGGGATAGTAATCGCACCTCACGAAGTACCCGTCACGTACTAAATCACGTATCTATCTTAGATATCGTATATATAGACCTTTTCTTTTTATCTATTTCTACTTTAATAATTAAGCTACTTTTATTACACTCTGTATACTTATTACTACGTACTATAACTTATAATAATTATAAGCCTAGCTCTTAGTTAAAACCCTATACTATAATAACGTACTTATTAATACGATTCTTATAATCTTTTTAAAATAATTAACTTACTCGTACTTACTTTAGCTTAAGCTAAATTAACTAGCCGTAATAGTTAGATTAAATAGTTTAATATACTTTATATTATAAATAAGAGCGTCGGGGTTTAGAAATACGTTAACCTAAACGTTCTAAACTTTAACGTATTCCTCGACCCCTTTATAATACTTACTTCGCTCTTTAAATTTAGATAATTAGTTATAACTTATAATAAAAAAGAATTACGAGCTTACTAAGCCCGTTATAAAGCATTTAAAAACGACTAAAAAAACTAAGAAATCCTCTATTAATAGTTTCTAAATATAATTCTTAGTATAAACCTTTTAACTTTTTTAAATACGAGTAACCTATAAGACTAAGCTAGGTTTCTTTTTATAAAGCTAGTTATACTACTTACTTTACGTAAATAAATTTATCCTTATACTATACTTATAAAAAGGATCTATACGTTTAAAAGTATTTAAAAATAATAAGAGCTTAACGCTAAATATAAATAATTTATAGCTTATAAACGTAATATTATTAATATGCATATTAAAATCCTTACTTAGTAATTAATAAAATTAGTTAATGTTATACTATATAAATACGTATTTTAAAAAGCTATTAAGAACGGTACTAAGTTTAGTATATAGCGAATCGTTAGATATTTAAAATAAGAATTTACGCCCCCCGAATTAGTAATAAAGAATGCGGTTCGAGAGGAATATTAATAAGCCCTTAATAAAGCGAGGACCGGAATTAACTTTTAATATTAATATAAAAAGTAGTAGTCTACTTACCTCTAAGCTAAAACGTATAATATTTTAAAAATTAGTAAAAAAATTACCGTACTTAACTTCTTAATTACGGTTAAATCTAGACTTAACCTTATATAGGGCTAACGTATATATAAAATCTTTAGTAAATTAATAGCTTTTAGAACGTATATAAAGACCTTTAAAGAAATTATATATATATTTAGCTTAGTAACTTAGGACGCATATACTAAACGACCTTTAGGTTAAAGAGGGGCTTACTCTACTTTTACTAAACGCTCTAACTTAGTTAATAATATAAATAATAAGAGTAATATTATATACCTTTATAATTGCGCATACCTATAGCGCCTTACGGCGTACTAAAAATTAGAATAAGTACTTATAAGCCGAAACGCTAGTAAGTTATTAATACGAATACTAAGGAGCTATATAAAAAAAGTCCTTACTATTATTAAATTAAGTAAGTAAAAATTACTTTACGATAAGCTTAAAAAAGCTAGTTAGCTAAGGAATAATAGTACCCCTAAAAAACCTAGGTTTTTAAAAAGATCCTCTAACTAACTTATAGCGAGCTTATTAGTAAACTAGGACGAGGGCTACGTAGTCGCTATATTTATAAAGAGTTAGGACTTAGAGATAAACGTAATTTTTAGTACTTTTATAAGTAATACTTACCCCCTTTCTTAGAGCATAGTAATAAATAACTATAAAGTAATATATTTAGTTAACGATAAGAGCCTATTTAAACCTAAGAGTTACGTATTATTAGGTAATAATAATTACGTTAAATTAAGAACTACTATACTACTTATTACTATACGCGGTACTCGTATTATAAAGGGCGTCTTAAATAGACTTAAAAAAAAGGGAACTTACGATTTAAAACTTTAGAACGTCGCTTATATTAAGGGATTTTATATTAATATAGTCTTAAAAACTTTGCTAAATAGAAGCGTATTTTAGTATTACGGTCTAAATTATATTTTATAATAGGGAACGCTTTATAAGAATATTATTAAAAAGTAGCTTATTTAAAAGAATAATCTAGTTTTTTTTAAATATAAGCTTTTCTAATCCTATCCTTTTTTTATAAACCTTAAGTATATCTTATAGAGCCTAGCTAGTATTATATTACTAATTAGTTATAAAAAATTCTATTATTTATATTAACGTACCTATAAGAGGTCTAATAATACGCTCTTTTAGTACCTTAGAATAGGTTATTTAGGACCTAATACTCTTCGTTAATTACTATATAAAACTCGAGGTATATATATTAAACCTCTATTATAAGTTAAGTATAAAGTATATATATTATCTAAAACTAAGATAATAGTTTTAAAAAGGCTACTTTTAAAAAGAGCTTTATAATTATAGTACCGTATATACTAAGATCTTTTCTATTTCGAACTATCTCTTAATAAATAATAATATATACTTATAATTTCTAATAAATATAATAAATAGCTTAAGGGGTTCCCTTTAAGAACTAAAATAAAAAAAAAAGTACTTTTCGTATTACAGAGCCTCGAAGTAGTAATTCGTTATTAAAAAGGGACCCTAATTTATTTCTTTAAAAATAATAATAAAACCGCCCTCCTAATTATAAATATTAAACACATATATAAAACGTAGTATAGCGAGCTAGGAATTAGAATAGAACTTCTACCTCTATATATAAAAGAACCCGTAAGTAACGCTAAAAGAGCAGGTTAACTCGTAATTACTAAAGCTTATAAAATATACTTTTTTACGAACCTCTCTATAAATTTATAAAACAAAATAGTACTAGTAGTAATCTTTATTTATAATATTACCCTATAAGAAGTTAATAAAAGAGATTCGCCTATTATAATAAAAATTAATTAGTAAAAGCGGTATTAACACTAGTAATAAACGGGTTACTAAATACGGGATTCTAAACTAGTTACCTCGTATTTTAGTAGTTTTTATATATATAGCTACTAAGTATACCCTCTTTATAAGGATCATAAGAGGGGTATACGTTAAAAAGAATTTAAAGTACTTCCCTACGGGTATATAGAATACCTAGTTAAATATATACTAAAAACGTATAACCTATATAGGGTCTAGGTACCCGCGCTCGAGTAAGTATTTATTACGAAGAATATTAAGTTTAATAAAAAAGTCTTTTATAATCCTATATACGAGGAGTAAGCTATCGTAAGTAAGTAAGTAAATTTAATAATCTAAAAGATATAAGAACTCTTTAATATTAATAATAAGCTAGTTCGAGTACTTAGAGAAGTAGATCTAAATTTTAAAAATACTAATATTTAAAATAATTTTATAATCGAGGATAGTATTATTATTAAATTTTTAACTATTTAGGACGCTAAGTAATTAATAGACGTATTTTAGGGTACGGTTAATAAGGCTAAAGAGGCTAATATAGTCTTATTATTATTACTAACCCCTAAGATAACCCCTTTATATAAGCTCGGGGGTAGGGGTAAAAAAGGGGATATAGTAACTAAGTTATAAATAGCTCTATATAGTTTATAATCCTTTTTATAAGCGCTTATATATATTATAGAGGTTCTTAAGCCTTTAATTCTTAATAGCTCTTAGTAAAACGCTAGAGTACGTAGTAAACGAGGTACTAATTATAAAAAAGTAATTCCTAATACTAAAGTCGACGTTAATAAAAAACCCTTATAATAAACCTTTACTATTATATAAAAATAAAGCTTATAAAAACTACTTTATTAAGTACTAAATAAAGCTCCGTTAGGTCCTAGACGCTTAAACCGGGCCCGTAAACTTCTATAACGCTTTAATAGTAGTATCTTCGTAACGCTCTTATATTTAAATATAAGAAATAGCGATTATTATAACTATTTTTAAAATTACTTTTTTTTTATTTTTATACCTAATTAGTAAAAAGCTATAAAAAAAAGTAATATAAGATATATAATACTTTATTAAGTAATGAAAAAAGTAGTTTATAAGACCTACTTAGAGCGCTCTAAAAGAGTTTAGAAACTACGACTTATTAAAGTTAACTTCTAAAGCTTATTAAAAAAGTTTAGTAATATTAAATATCTCCTATTATAATTATAAAAGCTACTTAGGGATATTATAAATATAAAAATAAAAAAGCTAAGGGATATTAATATATAAAAAGAGGTCGACCGTAATCCTAAATAAGGGATCCTACTTTTATTAAAGTAGGTATATACTTATAAGCACGACGTTAATAACGAGGTTAGTAAGGTAAAAGTACGTATATATATAAAAGGGGATATATAACTACTTAACCCCTTATAAAATACGTACGCTTTAATACTCGCTATAAAGGCCTTTAGGCTTATAATAGTAATAGCTACCTAATTCGACCTTAAGATAGACTAGTATAATATTATTAACGCATTCCTTAACGTACTTCTTAAGAGCGAAAAACTAGTAATTATTAAACTCCTAGAGGGATATAAAGTTATTAATAAAATAAGTAAGCTCTAATACGCTTTATATAGCCTCCGAAACTTACTAATTTTCTAGTTCTAAACTTTTACTTTTATATTTCGTAATATAAATATAATATATAGCTACGAGGAGATCTATATTTACTAAACCGTAAATAAGAAAGTAATACTAATATTTTACGTTAACGACTTTATTATTTTATATTATTAAAATAACTAAAAGGCGGCTTAGGGGATCGTTAATAATATAAAAAAATATATTAACTTTAAAAAGAATAGACCGATTAATTATTTTTTTAGAATATAGATTTTATAAAACTATACTATTTATAAAGTTTATTTTATTTATAACGTATATATCGAGCGAGTTACTAAGCACTTTGATTTTATAAATTTACTATATCTAACTACCCCTCTTTTTTAAGAAGAGTTTAAACTAAACGAGGAGTAGGTAATAAAAAAGGAAATAAAGAGCTACTAAGAAAAGGTTAGGAATATACTTTATATAACTATTATAATTAAACTAGACGTTACTTTTACTTACTTATAATTATTACGGTTCCTAACTAACCTAAGCGTAACCTATATTAAAATAATTAATTATTATATTTAATATCTCTATATAACGAGATATTTTATACTTTATTACGGTAATATACTAAGTACGTAATTATTATTTTTAACTAGAAATACTAGCTTCGTAAATAACGAGGTAATACGATAATTATCTTAAGAATATATAATATTCCTTTTTAACGGCCCAATTTAATAAAAATTAGTACGCTAAGTAATAGTTACGACGTTAATTACTAAAACTAAGCTTCTTTATTTTAAAAAAACTATAAAAAAGACTATAGCTCTAAAATACCTTTTTAAAAATATTACCCTTAACCTAAAAGAAGTATAGTTAGTTAACTATAATAATTAGTAGCCGATTCGACTCGTTATAAAAAAAAGAAAAAAAATAACTACTTAACTTTACTATATTAATATATAAAACATATAGCTAAAATAAGAGCATACTAAAAAAAGCTTCGAAATTACTTATATATTAATAAAAAATATATTAATAAATAGACTTACTAAAAACCTTTTATAAGTTAAGTTCGAATATTTTTATATACTTCTTAACCTTTACGATACGCAAAAAGCTATTATAAATAGCTAAAATAGTTAAAAATAATTAATTTAGGCTACGCTTAAAAAAACTTAATATTTAAAAGTAGATAATAGATAGAACCTAGAGTGCGGCCCAGAGGCTTAAAATAAATAAAATAAAAACCTCTTATAGCCCAAAGGCCTAAACTCTTAAAATAACCTTACCCCATAGGGTATACGTATATAAAAATAAGACCCGGGCTTATACTTACTATTTAAACTCCTAGTTTATAAAATACGTAATTACTAAGAGTATAGTATTATTAAAAAAAAGAGTTAGTATATACACTAAGAAATATATTTTATATACTTTAAAGTCTATAAAACTAAGAGTAATAGGGGTAGCGGGGGGTATAAGAACTAAAATAATTATTAAGTTAATAACTTAGGGTATAAAAATAAGTAGCGTAATAAAAAGTTAGTTATAAACGACTACGATAAGTATAAAAGAGGACCGGGGGCGCGGGTTAAAAAAGTCCTCTATATAAAAACCGATATAGTTCTTATATAACCTCCGGTTTTTATCTATTTAGTAGATAATATTACGGAGCTTAGTAATATCTTATTAAAATTATAATTAAAAATACGCTTTTTAATAATAAAAAAGGATAATATATTTATAAAAAAGGGAGCGCTATTTATAATAGCCTCGGTAAGGGCCTAGGCTATTAGCCGTAAAACGACTAGTATATTAATATACTTTTTAACTAAACGGCCGTTAAAATAGCGCGCATACTAGCTACTACTTTTTATAAAATAATAACTACTATCCTTAAGGTTAATATACTAGAGGGCTACTTTAAAATAGGGTAAGTACTAAATTTCCCATTCTTTAGGAGCCTCTTTTTTAAGCTTTTTAAGGACTAAGTATACGTTAAATAGGCCTAAAATAATAAAAAGAACTATACTTATTACGGGGGGTACTTTTATTTCTTAGTATTCTTTTTTATTTTTTATTACCTTTTTAAAAAGAACTAGCTTTACGTTTTTTAAACCTTAGAATAATATTAAATATAAATTTTTAAAATAATAAGTATATAATATACCCTTTTTAGAGGGCTTATTATCTAAACTAGTTTTATCTTTATTTTTAAACTCTAAGGGGGGGATAAGTAAAAGCCCGTTAGAGCTCTTATTATTATTATTTATTTTATTATTACCCTTATTATAGCTACTAAAAAGAGCTTCGAACTTAATAAAGTCCTTAGTATTTTAATAAGTAGCCTCGATATCTTCCTAATTAAGGAAGAAGAGCTCAGTAACCGGGCCTTAATAAGTAAATAAGAGGTTATAAGGGGGAGAGATAACTTAGAGGGGCTTATTAATATTATTACCTATCTAAACTCTTAATAAACTATATAATACGTATATAAAAAGTATTATAAAAATTATATAAAACTTATTATTACTTTTAGATATATTAAATATTTATATTTAAAATAAAATTAGTAAATGATTTAACGGCGTAGGCGCGCGTATATAATAAACGGGGGTACTTATAATAACTACGAAAGGTTAAAAAAAAAAAGAAAAATAATAGCTAGGTAACGCTATAAGAATTTAAATATACGTAAAGCGGCTAAGTAGCCTCGCCCTTAGTAATTTATATACTAGAAGTAATATAATACGTACTATTCTAGGTTAGAATTCTATTTATTTTAGATAAAGGGATATATTTATAATAAACGTAGTTTAAAAAACGTATATCCCTTACGCTTATTTTTCTTTTATTTATATTTAACTAAATTAGGCCTTTATAAAAGTATTTAGAGATTTTATTTTAAGTATAATAGCTCCTTAATAGTAGTAATTAGGGGGTATATTACGTAATAAGGATAGTAATTATACTTTACGAAGTACTTATTACGTACTAAATTACGTATTTATTTTAGATATTGTATATATAGACCTTTTCCTTTTATCTATTTCTACTTTAATAATTAAGCCACTTTTACTATACTCCGTATGCCCATTACTGCGTGCTATAACTCGTGACAAAGGCAGTATCCCTCTGCGGGTTGCGGGGATCGTGCCACGTAAACTCATTGTTGCGGGCTTCGATTCTGCTGAGAAGGACGTCGCGGAGCGTCTTGTGCGATCTAGCCTGCCAGTCCTGCTCGGCCTTTACGGAAACGCGGTTACCGTTGACGACAACAGCGAAGGGGTCAAGACAGGCATGACCAGCGCACCGAGTGTTGGCAGGTTGGTTGTTAGCCCAGCCGCTGCCACCCTCGACCCAGGTAGCAGGGGGGAACTCATCGCAGGTATAGCGCATCCCGGACCTCTTGATGATGTTTTTGGTCTGACTGTCGCGTTCATGTTTGAGCATGTTTGTGTTGCCGACGGCCTCGACATCCTTGGTCCACCAGGGGCCGTCGTGGCGGAAGGGAACCTTCTTGCTCGGCCCGGGGCAGTTCCGCGCTTTACCCCAACTTTTGAGGCAAGACTTCTCCCTGCGGCCGGACTGGTGAGTCCAGCTTTCTTCACCGGTATCAAAGTCGTAGGTGAACTGGTCAGCGGGGATGGTCGTGCCAGGGTGGAGGTTCTGGCCGCGGGGGGAGCTCAGGAAGGTGTCAACGTTGTCGCAGATGTTGTTCATGTAGTAGCAATTGTAATAGAGATAGATGATTTCGGTGCGGCCAAGGTCGATAACATTACGCCAGGCGGCCCGGTTGTCAGGGACGGCCTTGCTGAGAAATTGTGAGCATGCCGTCTACCATGAGTATACTGCGGAATAGAAGGCACAGAAACAGAAGACGGAGAGAGACTCACTATCTGTAGCCATCGTATTGGATGTTGGTCGCAGGATTAGTGATACGGGTGCGGTCCAAATTCTGCAAGTACTGTGCATTTGCCTGGCTAGAGTTTTGATCTAAAGCGAGCAGAACCGAGAGGCACACAGCGAGGGCGGAATGCCGCAAAACCATGGCGATGGATGTATTTGATACTGTAGCAATCTTCGGGTGGAAGCACTAGGCGTTGCTAGATGACGGGCTTTCTGATCTTGCTCGTTCCTTGTCAGCCACGAGCTGTCGAGACGTCCAGCCTGATACCGATAACGAGACGGATGCTGGTCCTGGCTTCCTGGCCAGCCGTACCGAGATCGAGGACATTCGCCGATATAAGTAAGCCTCCTTTTGCACATGCGCGTCTCAGCTCGGCCTTGGTTTAGGGTAGCTGAATACCTCACATCGTGTAAGTCCGGAGAGGGGAGAAATGATACTGCTGTGCCCTGTTCATTTTGCCTCCCCTCCACCTTCCAATGTCGGATTCTGCAGAGCAACCCATGTTGCGGTGCGTCCGGATAATCTTCAATCACCAACGGCGGTTGAGGCGACTGGGCAAGGGTCTTTGCCATTTCCTCGAATGCAAGGGGGAGGGGCGGGAAGGAACTTTCACAGGACATGCTTAAATTATGGCCCCATTGCTGTCCGTGCCTAGGTAGGTACCTCACTCGGCCATCCTGTTCCGCGCAAGACCCACCACTAACAGTCCTATCCGCAAGCCGGGGCAGTCTTGCCTGGTTGGCAACAACTTTGGTTGGCGGGCAGACTCGGGAGAGCTACGTACATTTTAGATTGCTTCTTGGAAGTCGCGGTCCGTCCCGCTCTTTAACGGCACAAAATGAGCCTATTGCCTAAACTGTGCCACACGAATCATCCGATTTCACCGTTTTCAACTGTAACTCCACAAGGAAGTAGTCACCCGATCAGTACTGTGCCTCATGGTTACATACTTTTATCATGACTCACCTGCTACTTATGACAAGTTCGTGCTGGACTAAGATGATGAACCGTGGCACTGTCTTAAAAAGGTAGGTACGATGTTGCCTGCCCCGCCGATTCGTTGAAAGGACTGTTCAGGTGCTCCGTCGTCGAGAAGCAAAGCGGGCTCTAGGCTCTCGACTCAACACCACCAACGCCAAGATCCAAATTGCCCACAACACAAGCCAATCAACAGAGAATTGCGGAAAATCTCTTCATATCTGTCGCAGGGGAGCTCTCAGCCGTGCCGCTCGTACAGGAAATGAAGATATGCAGTGGCGGTACCGAGCGGCGCAGGGCAATGGGAGCGCGGCAAGAATGGAGGTCCTTGAGGCCGATCGAGCCCTTTTAACTATCAATCCGAACCCCCGAGGTCGAATAGGGCTCCGTTAGAACCTCCTTCTGCAGACAGACCGTTCGTACAAGCTGCAAGCACGAGAGGATACCATGGAGTCGTTCAATTTCGGTGCTGCAATCTCGCGCCCCGGTGCCGTCCTTTCGCTGGCCATGGCCTCCTCTCTTGTCTTGTCACATCTCTCCTCAGCTCAAGATGGGAAGTCATGCCAGCCTTATACTTGGGATTCCCTTTCTCAGATGCGCATTGCCGCGGCCGATGACGACTCCGGGCCAACTGAAGGTACCCTTATCATCGTTAACCCGGGCGAGGTCAACTGCCGGTACTGGACCGATACCCCAAAAGATGTTAGCTATTACACATGTTCGGAGCTTGCTCAGCGCTACGATATGCCCAGCGACCTTTTCTTCACTTTGAACCCAAGTCTTGATAGGGACTGCGGTAACATCAAGCCCCAAACCGAGTACTGCGTCTCAGGATGTGAGTGCCTACTACCACTAGGCGCGAATATGCGTTTCATGATATCGACTAACTATTTGACCTAGTTATTGAGCCCATTAGGGCTGTTGATGGTCTCTGCGGCCCTCGTCATAACAACGCTACCTGTCTCGGAACCGACAAGCAGTGCTGCAACTCGGAGACGTGGACCTGCGGCGATTCGACGTATGTGGCCGTACCCCAATGTGATGAATTACCTTAGCTACAAGAGATTAACACGACATATTGACCCCTAGCGAGGACTGCGCCCCTGGAACCTGCTACGAGGGCGACTGCGTGGGCGATACTGTCTATAGCACCGACGGTACATGTGGACAGGACTACGGCTTCCGCGTCTGCGCTGGCCGCTGGGGAAGTTGCTGCAGCCTAGACGGTCGATGCGGCACGGGCGACGCTTTCTGTGGTCTCTTTGCCTGCCAGGATGGGGACTGCGACATTTGGAAGCAGGACGAACAGCCGGCCGGCACAAAGTGGACGAAAGACGGTACCTGCGGTGGCGCGGAGGGAATGAGGTGCTCGGCCGAGTGGGGGAGGTGCTGTAACGTGAACGGTATTTGCGGTGAGAAGCCTGCCGACTGTCATATTGAGAGAGGGTGGTGAGTCTCGAATTCCATCTTTGGCCAATGTGGTAAAACTGACGTCCACGCAGCCAGGACGGGTTTGGAATCTGTGCCTTGACTTCGACATCTCCCGTGTCCACACTCACATCCGCTTCGTCCACGCCTGCGGTCATTTCGACGTCCACGGTCCCAGGAACCTCGACTCTGGGGACCACCGGGACCTCTGTGACAACCACAGGCACCTCCACAGCGGCTCCCTTTCCTGCCTGTACCGGCGGCTCGAACGCGATAGGTATCACAGAAAACCTCAAGGGCCTGTGTTCATACAGCTGTGACTTCAATCACTGTCCTGCTGGTGCATGCGTCTGCACGGGGCCCGCCTCAGAGCCGGCTGACGGTATACCGGAACTGACAGGGCGCCACGGCTGTCCAGATGATAATGTCACTGAGAATCTAGCCTATTATGAGGACCTCTGCGAGTTTACTTGTAGCCACGGATATTGCCCGTCCGGTGCCTGCGAGTACTGTTGAGACAGGTTATTGAAGCGATTGCTTGATGCCCTTCGGTAGTAAGGCTCTGGAGTTGTGGGGAGCTGGACCTTCTAGACCTTCTACACAAGCTGTGAGCCATCGCAGTAAATGAGCAAGTATCACACATTTATGCTGGAACTCTCATCTTTCAATATTTTAGTTATCGTGGGCTAGGAAAATGGGAAAAGTACAATGAATAATTGTCACGAGTTATGGCACGTAGCAATAGGTATACGGAGTATAATAAAAGTAGTTTAACTATTAAAATAGAAATAAATAAAAAGAAAAGGTTTATATATACGATATTTAAAATAGATATATAATTTAGTACGTAATAAGTACTTCGTAAAGTACGATTACTATCTTTATTACGTAATATACCCCCTAATTACTACTACTAAGGAGCTATTATACTTAAAATAGAATCTCTAAATACTTTTATAAAGGCCTAATTTAGTTAAATATAAATAAAAAAAAATAAGTATAAAAAATACGTATTTTTTAAACTACGTTTATTATAAATATATCCCTTTATTTAAAATAAATAAAATCCTAACTTAAAATAGCGTATATTATACTATTTTTAATATATAATTTTTAAAAATAAGGCTACTTAGTTATTTTACGTATATTTAAATTCTTATAATATTACCTAGCTATTATTTTTTTTCTTTTTTTAACTTTTTATAATTACTATAAGTACCCCCGTTTACTATATATATACGCTTATATTATTAAATCGTTTATTAATTTTTATTTTAAATATAAATATTTAATATATTTAAAAATAATAATAAGTTTTATATAATATTTATAATATTCTTTATATAAATATTATATAGTTTACTAAGAGTTTAAATAAGTAATAATATTAACGAGCCTTTTTAAGTTATATTTTTTTTATAATCTCTTATTTATTTATTAAAGCCTAGTTATTAAGCTTTCCCTCCTTAATTAAGAAAATATTAAAACTATTAATTAAAACGCCGAGGATTTTATTAAGTTCGAGGCTTTTTTTAATAACTATAATAAAAATAATAATAAAATAAATAATAATAATAAGAGCTCTAATAAGCTTTTACTTATCCCCCCCTTAGAGTTTAAAAATAAAAATAAAATTAATTTAGATAATAAGCCCTTTAAAAAAAGTATATTATATATTTATTATTTTAAGAGTTTATATTTAATATTATTTTAAAGTTTAAAAAATATAAAGTTAGCTTTTTTTAAAAAAGTAATAAAAAATAAAAAAAAAACGCTAAGAGGTTAAGGTACCCCCTATAATAAGTATAGTTTTTTTTACTATTCTAAGCCTATTTAATATATATTTAGTTTTTAAAAAGCTTAAAGGAGAGGTTTTTAAAAAATAAAAAATCTAATACTTACCCTATCTTAAAATAGCTTTTTAATATACCGACTTTAAAAATAGTAATCGTTATTTTATAAAAAGTAATAACTAATATACATATTATAAAAGGGATTTCGAAGTAAGTTAAAACGTTACTATATTAACTTAATTAACTAAAGACTTAATATAAAAAAGAAAAAATAGAATAGTAAATAAAAACTAATAAGCTAGCCCTTTAGGCCTAGTAGTTTAGCTCGTTACGTAATTATTAAGAGCTTAGTTTCGTAGCTTAAGGCTAAGCTATAGGGCTTATAGGGCCCTAATACTTATTATTATAATATTACTCCCCTTTTTATATTAAAGGGCGCTATTTATAATATTAAAAAATAAACTTCTAAATTACTTCTTAATTTAGTAAATCTATAGCCGTAATTATTATTATTATATTATCGTTATCTTTTAATAATAGCGAATTACTAATTATAATAACTTTTATTTATATATTTAAGTTCTATAATAAGCCCTTAGTAATTAAGTATTAATAATAAAATACTTAGAGCACTATTAGCGTATATTTAAAACTTTTTATATTATATTAAGTTAGATCTATATTATACCCCTTTTAATTTACTTAGTATTATAGTTTTCTTTTATATAAGCGTAATTTAATAACTTTTAAAACCTCGTATTTTAATTTACTATTATTATTAATAATTAATAATAATAGGTCTTAGTTCTACTTAGGTAATAAGTCGTTAGCGGCTTTTTTTAGCTTATTTAAATAGAAAACTAAGTATACCCGGCTATTTATTAATAGTTTTATAATTTATATACCCCCCTATTTAGTATTAATAATAGGTTATAGCCCGGCTTATAGCTATTATAGTTTATTTATATTAGCGGATTTTTAGTATAAAATATTAATAAAGACTTAGTTTTTTAGTTTTAGGTCGTTCGGGTATTAGTAGTAGTTAGTAAACCTCTTATACTATACTTAAATAACTTTTATATTACCCCTAGTGGTTTTTTAAGCCTCGTATATTCCTTAAGTTATATATTACGTATTAGTATAGTTTAGCTTTTTTTTTATAAAACCGAATTAGCGGGTTTATTTAGATTAGTTAAAAAAGAGCCGTAATTAATAACCGAATTTTATTTTATATAATAATAGCCCTATAATCTTACTTAACTAAGTAGTATAAGTAAAGTTAACTACGGGTAGTATATTACTTTAATTATTTTAGTATTAATTAATTAGTAATTTTAATTATTATAGGATATATTAATTTAGTACTTCTATTTAGCTATTTATTTAGGGGTAATTAGCTATTAATAACTATAACTTAACCCTATAAATCTTATAAAGCTCCCCCTAGAAATTAAAAATAAATTAGGGGCCTCGGTTTAATATAATAGTTTTTAATAAGCTAAAGATAAGTAGTACCCGTTTATAAAATATTTAGCTTATATTTTTTATTATAATAGGTTTATAATAAGAAATAAATATTATCTTTTTATTTAGGTAGTTTATTACTATTTAAATATTATTAAATCTTTTTTAATTAGTAAGAATAGTTATAAAGTTAATAAAAATATAATATTACGGGTAGTTAGGTATTAAAAATAGCTTTAGCTCTTCTAGGGGCTTATTATGCGACTTTTATAATTAATAATAAATATAATAATTTCGTATATATTAATAAGTATCTACTATTAGGCCCGGCTAGTAATATCGCTACTTAAATATTTTTATAACTTTATTATATTTTAAATAAGTAAGGAGCTTTTATTTATAGACTTTATAAATAATTATAATATAAAGGTTCTCTTTTTTAAGTATTATAAGCTTTTTATTTATTATTGATAATCCGTTATTTTAAATAAATTAGTACTCGTACCCTTTAGTTATTAACGCTCGTATTAATACGAGGGATATTATAATAAAGTCTTTATTAAGTTTTAAAATCTTTTTTATTAATAAGTATTTTTAGAGCTTATTTTTTAATAAAAGCGAGCTAATTATAAGCTATAGTTAACTAATTATAGTACTTAATAGTGCCCATAGCTTTATTATAATATTAGGGAATAATATTCTTAGTAATAAGAAGACTTAGGTCTTATTAGCTTTTTTTAGTACTTACTAAGTACGGATATCTTTTATTTTTTATAATAAGGCGTTAGTTAATACGTTCTTTTTTTCTAAATAATAATAAATTTAAAAATTAAAGTTTATTAGTATATTAGCTTAGCGGGCTTATTATAAGTTAAATAAGCGCTTAGTTATAAAAAATAATAATAGTTAATAATTTATAATAATATCGAACTTATATTTATAACTTATAAGCTCTATATACTATTTTTTTAAGTATAGTATTATTATTAGTATTTTTTTATTATAAATAGTATAATTAAGCTCTATACTATTTATTATTTTTAAAAAAAAGGCTATTAAGTATTATAACCCGTTATCCTTTTATTATTATAATAGCGCTCCGGTATATATTAAGTTAGAAGCGTTAGTTTTTAGTTATATTAATAGTTCTAGTTTAAAATAATAAAGGATTAGTATTAATATTAGTACTAGTTTTATAGCTTTAAAGGCCGTTTTATATTAGTACTAAAATTAAAAAGAACTTTTTTACTTATTAGTTTTATAAGGGGCTTAGCTAAGCGGCCGTAATCTTTTATAAATCTTTTATAAAAGTTATAGAACTTAAGGAAGGATTAGATACCCTTAAGTAATATAAGTAGTTTTTAGTTTTTAATTATAAAAACTTTCTTTTTATTAAACTATATACTTTTTATAAAAACTATAAAGCTTAGGTATTTTATAAAGGTAATATTAAATTCGTACTTTTTAATATTTATTTATAAGCCTACTTTTTATAAGTAGTTTAGTACTTTAATAATATACTCTTAGTACTAAAAAGGGTTATTAAAAAAGATTAGGATATTATTTATATATACTATATAAAAGTCGTTTAGGTACTTTATTAGTATTTTATTTATATATTATTAATACGTAGTAAGCCCGTTATAAAGCCTAAAAGGTATTACTTTATACTTATACGCCCTATAGTAGGTTCTAAACGTTATTAAATTTTTAAAGGCTAGGTTAAGGTAGATATAATAAAAGGTTTATTTAATATTTAGTTTAGTAAATACTTTTACCCTACTTAGCTACGCAAAGGTTTTATTAATAAGTAGTAATAAGTAACGGTTTTTTTTATAACTTTATTAAGCTTATAAAAGTTAATATAAAAACGTAAATTACTATTATACTTTTTTATAAATAGTATTAGTAACGTAAAAAGAGTATTATTTAGTTTAATAAATCCCTTTTATAAGTACTTTAGTAAATAGGCTCTTATAGCCTCTAGTTTAAGTACTAATTACTTATATAAAAAGTAGTAAATTAGCTTCTCTTTATTACTATTTAAGAGCTCGATTTTATAGTTATATAGCTTATAAAATACTAATATATTACTAATTACTTTATTAAAAACGTCGGTCTAAGGTTATAAATACTTTAATAAGTTCGTTATTATAAAGTTATAAATAACTTAGTTATTATTAAATAAGGGGTTTAGTTCTTTTTTTTTATTTTTTATAATATAATTAAGTTTATAAAGTAATATAGAGCCTATTTTAA